AGGAAAACAAACAGATTTATCCTGGAAAGGGTTAAACCGGGTGGCTCTTTTGAGGCAAGGATTCTGTCGCACTGTCTAACATGCTTTGGACATGTTGTGAGGAGAGACCGACCGGTCCTTAGAGAGGGACATCATGCTTGGGAGGGTGGAGGGACCGCGCAGGAGGGGAAGGCCCTCTATGAGGTGTATTGATTCAGTGACTGGGATAATTGGGATGGGAGTGTCGGAGACAGTGTGATTGGCACAGGACAGAGTGGAGTTTAGGGCTGTTGTACATAGGGTCACTATGAGTCGCAAGCGACTCGATGGCACATAACAACAACAACATATCATACTGCAAACCATGTCATCAGAGCTCCTTGCAATCTTTATGAATATCGTAATTAAAATTCTTGGTTAGTTTTCCTTATTCATTGCCCAGCTTTCATGTGCATGTAAAGTAATTGAAAATTTCATGACTTAGGTCAAGGGCACCTTGTGCTCCAAATTACATCTTTGCTTTTTAACAGTTTAAAGAGATCTTTTGGTGCTGATGTGACCTGTGCAATGCATCATTTGATTTCCTGGCTATTGCCTCCCTGAGTGCTGATTGTAAATCAAGTATAGTGACATCCTTGATAACTTGAAAGTGTCATGTATGGCTAGAATTACTGTAGCATTTAAAAAGCCTTATTTCAACTAATTACAGACAATTCGTTAGAAAGAAAGATGAAGTTCTTTTTTGTTAAATATGTAAGCAAATCACTGATAAAGGGTACTTTTAATCTTTCCTTCTTTGTTCATTACATTTATTTTTGGTCCAATTGTCAGGAGTGTGTGTGTGTGTGTGTGTGTGTGTGTGTGTTTGAACGTAAACTGTAACTGAAGTCTTTCATCTTCTGCTTTTTTTAAAATTTAGGTTATTTTTATTTCAATGAACATCTACAGAGATTTTGGGATTCCATTCATTCATTGTTGCACCCTTCTCCCCGCACAAACCCCTCCCCCCTCCCCCCATTTCTGCTTTTAACAAGCAAGGTTGTGTCATCTACCTATCACAAGTTGCTAACGAGTTTTCCGTCAGTCTTAATGTTGTATTCCTCCTTCTATTGCCTAGTTTCTCAAATTATCCCTTTGTTTTGTTGCAATAATTGCTTCTTTGTTCATGTATGGGTTCTACATGAGTAGTAGTATATGTCCTGAAATTTATTTGCAATATTATCCATAATTTGTGATTATTCATATACTTTTATGCCTTTGGATACTTAATAATACAAAGGTGAACATTTTCTGGAACTCTCTGCTTTTAGTCAAGATCTACCTGGCATCAATAATGATATCCCTCATATCATCACTTTTTGTGGATATAGCTTGAATTTCTGGCAGTTCCCTGTCCATGTACCAGTGAAACTACAGTAATATTTGAAAAGAAATATTTCAAGTAATTTCATAGAAAACATTTAGAAACATAAGGATTGAGTTCTTGTTTGTTAAATGTGTTAACAAATCAACTGGCAAAGTGTATTTAGAGCTTTTCCCCAACACAAATGTTTGGAAAATATTTTGACGTGTTTGACAAACACAAAACAGAGCAAGATCTTTACTGAAAAGAAATAATAAACACTATAAAAAATCTCAACACCAGTACCTCAGAAGACACACCCTTTCACCAAATTAAAAGAGCCTGTAGCCACTTTAATCCTAACATAATACATAGAAGGCAGAAACCGTATTGTCACTTTCAAAACACTTACCTGAAAATGCACCTGTGCTACTCCATTTTATATATTAAAATAGTTAAGCAGAATGCTGATTCTGTGTTTGCTTATGCTCAAATTGGTAATCAAGCAACGTTGTTGTATAGCATCCAGTCAAATCCGACCCTTTAACTGACCCTTGGGATGGTTTTCACAGTTAATTGCATGGAAGGAGATTGTCCATCCTTCTCCTGCAGAGCAGCTACTGGTCTTGGACCTTATGTAGCATAGCTTCTTGCAACTAGGCCACCAGAGTAAAAGCTAAAACCAACTGAAAGGAGCCATATAAGCAAAAACACACATATGTACATACATTAAGAATTTATATCATTTGTTCTCTCTGTGGTATGAGCATCACTCATTCAATCTGTTACAATTCTGCTCCAACATCAAAGGACCTTCTTTCGACCTCTGCAGGAAAATTTTTATAACTCTTCTGATTCTCACTTTTATGAAGTACAACTATTTTTACAAGTTAAAGTTTCATATTTATTATGGCATTTACATATTTTCACACATTTAACCTGTGTGAAACTGTTACTATTTTTATTGTTTTTGTTGTTATGTTTGATAGAGTTGCTTGTGCCTTATAGCAACACTATGTACATTAACTATAAACCCTGATCTTACCTGTGCTAATCTAGTTATCTCTGAAAGACCTAATCCGATTTCTCTAGTCACTGAGTTAATTCGTCTCATCCTGGGTATTCCTGTCCTGCACTGTCCTTCTACCATTCCAACCACAATATCCTTCTACAAGAACGGATCCCTCATGACAACATACCCAAGGTATATAAGATAAATCTTCAAAATCCTTGTCTCCAGTGAGCAGTTTGGTTTCATCATTTCTGGGACAGGCCTGTTTGTTCTTCTGTTAGTCCATGGTAGGTTCAACACTGTTCCCAGCACCACAACTCAAAGGTATCAATCCTTCTTCTATCATCCTTAGCTCTCTGATGCATAGCAAGTAATTATGAAGACCGTGGCCTTGATCAGGCACATCTTAGTCTCCAGACTGACATCATTGTTCTTCAATACTCTACAGCAGTTCTGGACAGCAGACTTTTCCAATTCAATTCAGCTTTTGATTTCCTGACTGCTGATGCCAAGGGCATTTATTGTGGAACCAAGCCTGGCTGAAGTTGTTAACAATTTTAATCTCTTTTATCATTTGACCTGGGGGTGAGAATCTGTTTTCTTGAGGTTGAGCTTCAATCCATATTGAACACTACAGTCTGTGACCTTCTAGAGCAAACATTATTTTATTAGATACTTATTTATTTCATTACAAGGTTCTTATGTGCTTTTAAGTTGTTGTTGTGTACCATAAAGGTGAAAGAGACTCATAGCTGAACCCCCAGTGGGTTTTCAAAGGTAGTAAATTACATAGGAGAAGTTTGCTCATCTTTCTTCCAAAGAACAGCTGGTGGTTTGAACTACTTGATTTGAAGATTACAGTGTAGCTTCTTACTAGTAGACCACCAGAGCTCCTCAATAAACACAAATGCTTACATTATTAATATACTACAGTCATTTTTCATAAGATTTTTATTAAGATATTAATAATTTCTACAATTGCATATCACACATTATGTAGCAAAATAAAATACAACCTCATAGTTATTTGAAATTAGCTTGAGCTCACGGAAACTCAAGTTATACATCACTTAAGAAACCACTTTAGAATTTAATACTTCTACTCTAATAGAAATCCATAATTAACTGTGAAATATTACAAAAAAATAATGACAAATAAAGCCAAAATCTAAAATTAATGGCCACTGATCCAATTCTGACTCATGTTGATGTCATGTTTTATAGAGTATGACTGTCCCAAGAGATTTCTGGGCTTTTATCACTGCTGTTGTTGTTATGTGCCATGAAGTCACTTGCGGCTCATAGCGACCCTATGTACAACAGCCCTAAACCCTGCTCTGTCCTGTGCCAATCGCACTTCCTCTTACACACCCATCTCAATTACTCCAGTCACTGAATCAATCCACCCCATAGAGGGTCTTCCCCTCCTACGCTGTCCCTCCATCCTCCCAAGCATGATGTCCCTCTCCAAGGACTTGTCCCTCCTTACAACATGTCCAAAGTATGTCAGA